GCTCAATTTCATGTTCGTTGCGTCGATGACACTGTCTAACCATCTCATCCTTTGCCGTCCCCGTCTTCTTTGACCTTCAATCTTTCCCAGCATCAGGGTCTTCTCCAGTGAGTGCTCCCTTCTCATTTGGTGGCCAAAGTATTTGAGCTTGAGTTTCAGTATCTGGCCTTCCAGGGAACAGTCAGGGTTGATTTCTTTTAGGATTGACTGATTTGATCTTCTTGCAGTCCAAGGGACTCTCAAGAGTCTTCTCCAGCACCATAGTTCAAAAGAATCTATTCTTCGGTGCTCGGCCTTCCTTATAGTCCTTAGATAAGCATATGGAGCAGAGGTCCATCAGTGGCTATTAGCCACAAGGTATAGATAGGGGCTCTGGTGCAAGTGATGCTCTGTCTTCTTGGTGCTTGGGGGGGGGGTTCTCCCAGGAGAAATCACACTGTGATATTTTAATATGCATAACATTCTTGGTGCAAAGTATGATGAGCACATAGTGTCGTTTATATTAATTGTCAGGCTTATAAAACTCCCAGGAGTTTTTGAAAGATAGAAGCCACTAGGCAGCAAGCAAGGAAGGAGTTTTATCCAGGCTCCTTCCCTGGATTTTCAGCTCACATTAAAAACACAGTACTTTGGGGGGGAAACCCTTGCTCCTAGCAGCAGCAGAACCACTTATTTTTTTCCTAAGTAAAACTGTTCTATCTTTAAAAGTCCTAGCTATGGGCACGAAGACACTGAAAAAGCCTGGCAATCCCTTGTTGTAATTTCTCCTTGTCGTACTCCTTTTCCTATGCTGAACCAATCAGTTGTTCCATATCCGGTTCTCTTCCCTAGCAATTACATAACTTTAAGCACATCAAAGTACCTGTCAGTTTAGGTTGAGCCTTTTCCTCCAATAGCCTTGAACACACGTCCCAAAATTACTGGCTCCATGCCACAAGTATTTCAGCATGCACTGTTATCAGCTTGCATTAGACACAGCTGCAGCACCCATTAATTTTGTCCTGGTCTTAACAATCCGCATCAAAGGAGTTTTGATTTTGCTTGGGACTAACGTGGCTGTCCCGGGAGCTGCGGTGGCTCAAGTGGTTAAGACGCTGAACTGCAGGCTGTGGAAGGTCAGTAGCTCAGCAGTTCGAGACCCGAGTGTGCCGCTCCCGTCTCTAGTTCCAGCTCCTGCCAACCTAGCAGTTCGAAAGCAAGACATTGCAAGTAGATAAATAGGGACCACTTCGGTGGGAAGGTAACAGCGTTCCGTGCGCCTTGGTGTTTAGTCATGCTGGCCACATGATCACGGAAATGTCTTCGGCTTTGAAACGGAGATGAGCACCGCAACCCTAGAGTCGGATTCGACTGGCTTTCAAGCAAGGGAACCTTTACCTTACGTGGCTGTCAGCAACCTATTTCCTTGGCAGTGCTGTTTTCCATCACATTCTTGATTAATTGCTTTGCATTGCCTCGTAGTGGGCTTTTTCGTAAAGAACTCTTAAACATATTGGCGAGATTTAAAAAAAAAGGGGGGCTTTGCATTCAGTGTGTCTTGCTTAATTAGGCTGCCTATCGGTGAAAAGTAGTTGTGTTCTAGGGCACAGAACCACACTTGAAAGACTTGTTGGTCAACATTCCTGTTGACACATCTAAATCTCACCTTAGTAATGTAACCACAAAAGGAAGGAGGTACAAAAATGGCAGGTCGGGGTGATTTGAAGAACCAGCCAGAGACGGTGAGAGCATTGCTTGACAAAAACAAACTGGTGGATCTAATGGGGGCGGCAAGAAGATTGGTGACCTTTGGTTGTAAGAGGCCACTTTGTATTAATATTGGAATATAGAAGCTTTAGTGGAAGACCTCTGAGCACCCGCTCTTGGTCACCACTCCATCTTTGTCAGACTGGCAACAGTAACAAGCAGGAAGCACATTAAAGCAGCATTTTGCACTGATGTCACTTGGCCATCCTCTTAGCCTTGCTGGTCTGCTTTGTTTCTTTTGCTCATTGTATAGAAATTTTGCTTTCTATAATCCATGCCTTCTCCTGTGATTACATTCTGGTAACATGCTGTGTCTTATTTCTTCTCACAAGCCCAAATGGCCTGACCATTTGGCCAGAGAAACTTTATAACCATGCCATATAACCACACATTCTTTCACACCTCTAAGTGGAAGAGGCAGACCTGATGGCTCCTGGCTCTGCCTCACATTCAACAAGTCACGTAGGCGATGGAGAAGCTAGAAGCTGGGTCACCTGACTGCAGGAGGAGTTTCCAAACTTCTAGCCAATCCTATGTTGCAGCTATGACAACCAACAATTGGCCACATCCCTGTCGTGGTTGGCTGGATGGCCACAGCTAATCGTGACTAGATTGGGGTTTGATTGATCCTGAGGGGAATGAGCCCTCTTGGTCTCTGCTCCTGTTCCCTCTGCTTGTTTTATGGCACCTAGAAATGCCGTCTCGTGAGGGACAAAGAACTGTTTTGTGAATTGGACCACATGGTTGAGCAAAGATGGATTTTTTCTTCAAAATCCCTTGGACTGTTTGGATGTTCCTGAACTTGGTAAATATGTATCTTGTACTGTGTAGTTAGGGCAAATCGCCTTAGGCTTGTTATTTTGGTAAACTCTGGTAGTCTGTGTTAAGGTCTGTACTGAATTAAAAAAAAAAATTGTTTCTAAATGGTCTCTGATGTTGTACCTGAGTTCCAAGTCTAAATCTGGTGGCTAACCCTGACCACACATGCTACCTTGGTAAGAGTGTGCATCTCTGAGTGAGTTGCTAATGTGTTAAGTTCCAGATACCAACTGAGAGTTTGAACCTCTAATATCCGGTTGGGGGGAACTAATGTAGAGGTACTGGTGGCACATTGTTCTGAAACCAGAGAGTGTATAGACCATCTCGTGGTTTGTTGTTTAATGTACTGGAAAAGTACAGGATTGCCTCGCATCCCTGGACCGGCCTGAGGGGTTTAATCCTGTACACTCATAAAGCTGACCAACTGGAAATAACCAGAGGAGCAGTACATTTAAACACAGATTAGCTTCACTGCCATATTTTAATTTCTAAATGCCGTTCCAAACACCCTCAAGGGTAGTCATCTATTTCTTCCTGTGCCCATGGATAAAACTGCTGCAGGCACATAACAGAGAATTGCAGCACAATTATATGCACACCTACACATTCAGTGATTATTCCCTGGGTAAGCTCAAGTGGTTAAGACGCTGAACTGCAGGCTGTGGAAGGTCAGTAGTTCAGTGGTTCAAGACCCGGGTGCCGCGTGACAGGGTGAGCTCCCGTCTCTAGTTCCAGCTCCTGCCAACCTAGCAGTTCGAAAGCAAGAAATTGCAAGTAGATAAATAGGGACCACTTCGGTGGGAAGGGAACAGCGTTCCGTGCGCCTTGGTGTTTAGTCATGCCGGCCACATGACCACGGAAACGTCTTCGGACAGCGCTGCCTCTTCGGCTTGGAAACGGAGATGAGCACCGCAACCCTAGAGTCGGACTCGACTGGCTTTCGAGCAAGGGAACCTTTACCTTTAAGGGTCCCTAGCATTCCAGCCTCAGTCTTCCATCCTTTTCTGTACTCAAAAACCTTCCTCAGCAATAATAACACAAGGAGGTCGCTCCACAATTTGGATACTGCACAATCCCTTGCCTTCCACACTGCACCTAGCAGCAATCATAATCTGAGACATTCATACTAACTGGTTTCCAGAAGTGTTGCAGAGGACCCATTAGGAAACCCTTCAATATACTTCGGTGCCCAGAATGGAAGGAAACGCTTTCTCCAACAACCCAGAAACAATTTTTACCAAGTCAAGTGTAACCACCCCAGGTAGGAAACCCTTCAATATACTTCTGTGCCCAGAATGGAAGGAAATTGCTTTCTCCAACAACCCAGAAACAGTTTTTACCAAGTCAAGTGTAACCACCCCAGCATGGAGTTTAGGTGTGGCGTTCAAATGGAAAGCTATGGAAGGCTTCTGCCAGAAAAAAAGATTTACCATGACAGATGCAAGTACGTTACAAATCACACAGATGCAAGGTTTTGGATGCCATTCTGTAGCCGTTTTCTAACCATCACCCTTACACATGTTTTCAGAATGAAAAACACAATCCCTAAGGGATTGCAATTTTAATAGCTTTAACTCAAAACATAAAATAAAGGAATTGCAACCCTCACTGTTGTGAGAGCAGGGCTAATGTCTATTGCAGCATTTTCTGGATGAGAAACTTCAAAGGGAGGCCCAATGCTTACTGCATTTTAAGTGGCAGTCTTAAGCAGGTCTAACACAGAATCCTACTCTGGTCTATTCTTTCTCCCCAGGAAAGGATTCTTAGGATGCCACTGCTTTGTCTAGGACACAACAGCTCAGTTAAACCTTATATATGCCCACTGGACTATTGGAAAAGAGAATGCAACATCTTCAAAAGCAATGTGACGGTTTACGACTTTCCACGTAGAAAAACCTTTTCCAGTGGTGTGCATATTTTGCAATTAGTTCATCAGTCATGAAGCCAATGGTACATTTTCCCCTGTACCTAGATTTCCATACTGGATGACTGCTTTGTACAAACACATACACATGGAGCTGCTTTATACTCAGTCCGACAAGACTGGCAGCAGCGTCTCAAGGTCCCCGCCCAATTATTCCACATTACCTACAAAACTTGATCCTTCCAATTAACCTAATTAACCGGAAATGTCCGGGATCAGACCAGGGATGAACTGCCTACAAAGCAGATGTTCTACCACTGACCCACGGCCAACCCCCATCCAAACCAACCCTTCCAGCTAGATGAGCAGCTTGATACTTCCAATTAACCTAATTAACTGGAAATGTCCAGGATCAGACCAGGGACGAACTGCCTGCAAAGCAGATGTTCTACCACTGACCCACGGCCAACCCCCATCCAAACCAACCCTTCCAGCTAGATGAGCAGAAAACTTACCCCTTCTGGTCATCCACTCACTATACTTCTAACAAACAGGAGTCTGGTGGCACCTTAAAGACTAAACAAACGTTATTCGTGGACTACAGCCTGCTCGCACAGATGTTACGTGTAGATTCTGCCTATGTTTCAGGGCATCGCTAGGCCGCCCTCTGCCCTACATAATGCACCGTCCTCCCCAGAAGTTCCCAGGGAGGGTGTCTGGAAAGAACGCATGACATACTGCATCTAGACAGCAGCTGAGAGCTTTTCTTTTCCCAGTCTAGCAATACAGCCATGTCCACTGAAGTACACGTGCGCCAGTTAAAGTTACAAGATGTACATACACCTTCCAAGCAGATCTCGGCAAGCCCTTCCTCTACCACCCAAAAAAAGGCAGGAGTCAAAAGTTTTATAAAAACATGGTTTCTTTTTTTTTAATAAAAAACATGGTCACTAGCCAACATGAATTGTCACCGACATTACCTTAAGAACTGAGACTGTCCAGTGTGTCTCAAATTCTTGTAGTCATTAGCATCACACAAGTTTTTTCACCTTGGAATACAGTCTAAAGAGGCATAATTTATAGAAGGGACCAGGGCCTTATTCTGTGCCTCTGAAGACACAACAGAAGCCCCTATTCAGAAGTTTTCTTACACCTTTACAAAAGCCAAAAGTGGCTATTTGGGTACCATTCAGTCCAAGTTTTTTATCATGTACAGACAGAAGGAAAGTAAGTGGTTACTCCGGTGGAAGAAATTCCAAGCTTGAAAGTGTAAAAACAGGGCATCCCAACTGCCGTAACTTTTTTTTTTTGCAAAGGACAATTCATTCCTGTAGATCCTTGGAGCCACAAGTTGCTCCAAACTGATCTGTACTTCTACCCTCCTGTTATGCTCACAGATCTCATTCAGCTTAAGTTCACATCATCAGCTGCACCCTGTTGTTCCACTGTAGAAGCACAGCCTGACACTGGAGTTAAGTCAGACACCAAGAACCTGTAATTTTTAATTAATGTAAGAACTCATCAAATCAGAACAAGAAGAGGAACGTCAAAGAGAACTAGGAAGAGGAAGAGAAAAAACCAGATGCAGAAGGGTTTCAAGCAAATCATTAGCACAGAACTCATCTGTATTAATCCTCCTAAAGTCTGCAGTTCAGCACCTGGCCTCAGTTTTTAAGAGAAATTCTTTTGTAAAACCAGGGTATTATAATTAGCACAATACTCTGGAAGATGCTGTTTTGAAGTATCACAGTCAGCAGAGAGGCAAAGTGTAAAAACCAGTCGGCATATCCCAGTCACACACGTTAACATGCTGCAAGGCCTGCTCCCAAACGGGGGCCAGGCTGCACCAAACCTTGCAGACACAAGAGGGATTCGGGTAGAACACTAATTTGGCACAAGTCGGAAAGAGGTTGCTGTTTGCATAGAGTGGGAGCAGAAGGAGTTGGGGTACTCCCCCCACTTGCCCCGAGGCACTTTGATACGGCACGTCCCACTGGCTCTTAATTTGGACACTAACATACCACTGCCAGGAGGGAAGGAGGACAGAAACTCAAGGGAAGTTCTGAAGTAAACATCAGTGGTGAGCAGGGCCACACGGCCCGGCAACCATTTTATGGGCACCCGACCAGAGGCTCAGTGAGAAATGTCCTGTTCTCCAGACTGACTGAGGCGAGAGCAGTAGCGCATCAGAGGCTTATGAAGCCCAAATTCATCCTCTCCGCTTCACTGTACTCGGCCACGTTTTTCCTTTTCACCCGCCTCCGGTCACTCTTCTTGCTCGGCCTAGTGCAGACGGAAGGGAAACACGCTTTTGCGTTCCAAGGCAAAGGTGGGCCTTGGTTCTTCGCAGGGCCTGGAAGCCGCGCTGAGGTAGTTTTGAGAACCACACCAAAGTCGCAATTTGTAGTAGGGGGAGAGCTGGCACTGTTGACGGAGGAATACCCAGAGCTGGCTTCCAAGGTGGATTCTCGCAGGGTGTGACACACGAGCCACTTCTTCACCCCACCTGGCGGGTCATTTTTCCTCAGGTCATGTGCCGACCCATCCTTAGCAAGGCACTCTTCATCACTGGATTCTTGACAGCAGTGGTCTTTAGGATCCACGTAGACTACAGCTACATCCAGGACACTACTGGGAGCTGTAACTGCACAGCAGGAAAAGAGAAATACAAATTATAGTAGCTATGTGAAACTTTCCGAATTCCAGTGGATTACACCATACAAGTACCAAATGGCAAGTTATTTCATTTCCCAGTTCCAGCTGCTTTATTTCCTTTTCTTGCTATACAGCATTAGCATACGGCAGGTGATAAAACAGTTCTACACTAAAAATCTCCATCTTTGGCCAAGCAGTTTATTAAATCTATACAAATAATAGGAGGGCTTTTTCTGGGGGCTGGCAGATTGCACATTTCTTTGAAGTTTGCTATGAGTTACATTCTCAGGTGGTCCCCCCCCCCAATAATAAAACACATTTTGAAGGAGTTTCTTATTGGGCTGGGGGGGAAGGCAGAAAGGGGAACATTCAAACACACAGTCTAAAGAAGTATTGCTTATCACTTGACTGCATCCCATAAACTTAACACACACACACCCTTTTCCATATATATATATTTTTTAATCCCCTGAAGACAGGGTAGCTCTATTTATTTCTTGTTACACCTACAAACTAAAAGACAGATAAGAAGGGAAGGAAACAGAACCCCGGGATTTGAAGACAGAAAATCAAACCCACACTATAACTAAAAGCCCAAGAGTAGAGATCATTAACAGTTAGTATTCAGTTAGTTTTATATATTCCACCCTTCAGTTTTAACCAATAAGAGAATTAGTCGGTTCATGTTAGTATTCCAGTTCATTCAAGTGCATGCCGAGAATCTTCCACCATCATCTTCGTTTGCAAGTCTTTAAAGTTTAAAGCGTTACTTCGGTCCTCTTAATCTTAAATCATATGCATCTCTGGCTGGAACTCCTTCTGCTAGTTCCAGGTCATCGGCTGAGTCCTTCTCTGCAGCACCTGCTCCGCCGCAACCCTTTCCCATATTCTTGACAGCAAAACCAATACCCCCCAAAAAAGATGAACAACAAAAACTTACCATCCCCTTCTTTCTCGCCTTCACTTTCTTGATCTCCTTCATAACCCGAGCAGGAATCCAAGCTCCAGTCTAGGAAATTGTCCAGAAGGCTCTCCTCCTGGTTGGACAGCTCAGCAGTGGGGGTTGTTACGAAGCTGCCCCTGTCTTCCTGGATGCTGTCTTCTCTTCTCCTGTGCCAAGAATACAGTCGTTCATACAGATTCCCCAAACGCAATCTCCCTTATATATAAAAGCCGAAGGGTGGTGGCACTTCTCTAGAACATTCCACACGCTCCGGAATTGGTTGGCGCCCTGGTGTGTCACTCAGAATCTGTCCCTATCCACTGGCTGCATTGCTTGAGTCTCGCCTCCAACATTCTAAACAGTTTGCTGTTCCTCTCCCCCCCATAGCCAGTCAGAACACAGAGGTCGTTTGCATATGCGAGCTTTTGTGCACGCACCCTTCTTTAGATATCATTGTATCTGAGGAAGTGTGCGTGCACACGAAAGCTCATACCTTGAAAAAACCTTTGTTGGTCTTAAAGGTGCCACTCTGGACTCGAAATCTGTTCTACTGCTTCAGACCAACGTGGCTGCCCACCTGCATGTTTCCAATTTACACTCTCACCCCAAACAGGTTCCCCAAAGCATCTTCACAATACAAAATGCTATATGTACCCTTTGAATAATTATAGCACTGCAGCCATAAAAAACGATTAAAAACAAACATTTAAACCACCACCACAGAAAAAGCCAACCCAGAACAAACAATAGCCCAAAAAAGGAACAGAAAAACAAGACCCAAAAGGAAACCATCTACTGAAAGTCTAAGGGAAGCCATCAGTGAGAATGGATAGCTGAGTAAATAAGGGGACAGATCAGTCTTTCTTGCATGTGACGAACACCCAATTAAACAAGTAAGCAGCTATTTTCTTAGGTGGTTTCTTCCCACCTAGGCCTGAGCCTTAACACAAGTTAAGAAGAGGCCAGCTGCTTTTCTTGTGCTTCTCTCATTCGTACTGGACAACCCTGTAAAAAGGAAAGGATACAAAAGGGTACCTTGATGACAGAAGTGCAGCACCGCTGGCCTGACAAGGCCTCAAGCACGGAAGTGAGAGTCCCAATGGAAGAAATTTGCTTACCTTTTAGTTCGTTTCCCAGATGGAGAAGCAAGGAAGGTTTCTACTGTGCTTGCAGGCCAAGAATTGGGCTCCGGGTCTTCCTGCTTCACTCCTAGCAGCGCACAGAGCTGGCTATAACTCATCACCTACAAGCAGAGAAACCCGGTGACAGTTCCAACAGCTACTGCTGCCCAGCCTAGCCAGGGGTCCCAAAGTGGACCAGATCCTGGTCAAATATTGCCAACCAACCTGACTAGTCAAATATGCCCCAGATGCTTTGCGTGCAGATAGTCGTTTGCCCCCCCCCCCATTTTTTCATTGCAATGTCATTCTAAAGGGCAGGCATGACAGCTGCCAGCCCCTTCACTTTGCAAAAGCCGGGGACAAACCCAGCAGCATTGCATAAATAAAATATACATTTTGATAAGTGTGGGCAAGGCTCAGCGATTAGGCACACCGATCCTGATTCGAGCCCATATTTCCAGACTCTGTAAACATCTGGATTGATCAGTAACTCTGATCAATCCAGAGTCCAGACCTTTGCACATCCCTGGACCTGTGGGCATGTTAAAGACGGTAGCTCGTTAATCGTTGTACTATGTAAAGCATCCTTAAGAAAGTATCCGTCTTCCCCGGTGTCTGTACGTGCAAGTTCCAACCTCACCCTATGGTGGGTGGGGTGGGGGGCATAAAATAAACGCTTGCTGCCTTGAGAGGCAGACTGATTTCTCTACCCTCAAGAGAGCTGTCTCGCGTGATTCAGGCATGGACGGCTTCAAAAGGGAATTAGATAAGCATATGGAGCAGAGGTCCATCAGTGGCTATTAGCCACAAGGTATAGATAGGGGCTCTGGGGCAAGTGATGCTCTATCTTCTTGGTGCTTGGAGGGGGGGTCAACAGTGGGAGGGCTTCTAATGTCCTGGCCCCACTGGTGGACCTCCTGATGGCACTGGTATTTCTGGCCACTGTGTGATACAGAGTGTTGGACTGGATGGGCCTTTGGCCTGATCCAACATTGGCCTCTCTTATGTTCTTATGATTCCTTCAGATAAGATTTATTTTGAGATTAGCTCGACCCTTTTAACACTGAGGGTCTTGTAAAAAGCAACAACAACAATGACCTAGCTTTCTCATAACAGATGCTGGCAGCAGCTTATAGAGCAATTCAGCTACAGTACCTCTGTAGAGCATCAGCCAGCCAGCCAGACCTGTTTCCACTCATTTCAGGATCGCTGCACTCACAAAATACATGCCACTCCCTGTCCTGTATAAGGAATTCCACCAAGCGATCCTGCCATGCTTTGCCTTACTGATATCCCAGGAAGTTCCCCCACCCCTGTCGCTTATTCCCTATGGTCAAGAACACAGACAGTGAGCCAAGGTGTTCAACGTACCTCTTCCTTGCTGATCTCTTCATAGCGCTCGTCTTCAAACCGTTGCTTCACAGCAGTCAAGGACACCTGCCTATAGTCCTTTGGAACATCATCGTGGAAGCTTTTGAGGGAGACAAGTACAAACCTTTCAAAGATTCACTGGGTAATTTTCAAACAGACTAAGAATCATACAGGGGCAATATTCCTTTGTATGTCATCATGGCCTCCCCCCCCACTTTGCGGTAAAAAGGTAAAGGTAAAGGTTCCCTTGCTCGAAAGCCAGTCGAATCCGACTCTAGGGGGCAGTGCTCATCTCCGTTTCCAAGCTGAAGAGCCAGCGCTTAATTACAATGGTTGCAATGGAGATACAGAAATGTGTTTGTATTGTGTTAGCAAGGATGCAGAATGCAAAACTGCCTGTTTAACCTTCACCTGGCAATAAATATTAGGATTTCTAGAGTTGAACAGATTTGTGTTTCTGCAAAATGTATCAAAAACATTAACTGTTTCACCTTTCTGATAAAGTTATTGCCATAATAAACAAGCTTTTCCTCTCCTGCTTCCTGTGACCTTTTGCATAAGATAGCCATAGAGTAATCATAATGCGGTGGGGGGAAGACTCCCAAGAACTTCTGAGAATCTTGATCTTTTCCCCAACATTCAAAAGTCAGCAAAGCCTACCAAGGGTAAGCAGAAGGCGCGTGTACGACTTCCTCCGGCCTGTTCCTTCGAACAGGAAGTTACTGTCGCAGCCTGTTATTAGCATGGCCATATGAGCAGAGTTTGAATGAGGACCCAGGCTTTGGAAGGCATCAGAGACACTGGCTTGACCCACTGGCTCATATGTCACTTTTCTAAATTCAAGAGTCTCCTAAGCAACAGCAGCTTTTTTTTTAGGATCTGGCACTAGGCTGCATTTGCAGATGGCAAACGGGTGTCAGGCCCCTGCCTCTCTTTACAGGTTCCAGCAAGAAAACAGCCTACCAAGCCCACTCAGAGGCAATCCCTTTTTTAAAAGGAGGAGGTGGCGGCGGAGATTGGATTTATACCCCGCCCTTCACTACCCAAGGGAGTCTCAGAGCGGCTTACAAACTCCTTTCCCTTCCCCTACCCCACAACAGACACCATGTGAGGTAGGTGGGGCTGAGAGAGCTCTTGACAGAAACTGTCCTTGAGACAACAGCTCTGACAAAACTATGGCTTGCCCAAGTTCATCCAGCAGCTGCAAGTGGAGGAGTGGGGAATCAAACCTGTTTCTCCCAGACTAGAGCCCATGCACTTAACCACCACACCAAACTGGCACAGGCAAGGCTCTTTCTTACGAAACCCTGAGGTCATGCTACTTCCTGTGACATGCTTTTGACTCAGTGGATCCCATGTTGCTGTCCAGGGAGGGATTAAAAGTGGGCTCCCGGAAAGCTGAAGACATCTGCCCTATAAAATCTCATGCAAGTCTAGAGATATAAAATTTCTGGAAATTTTGAAGCTCGGAAAAAAACCCGGTTTTTTTCCGGGAAAAAACTGGAAATTTTCGGAAAAATTGAAAAAATGCTACATTAGCATTTCTTTTGTCTTTTCTAGATTGAATGTCATTCTGCCTGTTGAAGCCATATGGCCTGCACATTTGGCCAGAAAAACTTGATAGCCCTGCCATATAACCACACATTCTTTCACACCTCTAAGGGGGAGCCCTCCCATTGGGAATGACCAGTTATAGGCCCATTCCAGTCACAAAGTAGCCCTGGCCAGGAGCCAATTGCGAGTTCCCTTGCTCGAAAGCCAGTCGAGTCCGACTCTAGAGTTGCGGTGCTCATCTCCATTTCAAAGTCGAAGAGCCAGCGCTGTCCGAAGACGTTTCCGTGGTCATGTGGCCGGCATGACTAAACACCAAGGCGCACGGAACGCTGTTATTTTCCCACCGAAGTGGTACCTATTTATCTACTTGCAATTTCTTGCTTTCGAACTGCTAGGTTGGCAGGAGCTGGAACTAGAGATGGGAGCTCACTCCATCATGCGGCACCCGGGTCTCGAACTGCTGAACTACTGACCTTCCACAGCCTGCAGTTCAGTGTCTTAACCACTTGAGCCAATTATTAGTTGTCATGGGTGCATGTGGGGATAGGCTGGGAGTTTGGGAACTCCTTCTGCAGTCAGGTGACCCAACCTCCAGCCTTTCCCATCGCCTACATGACTTTTGGCCTGTGGCCAGGCTGAGCCATCATGTCTGCCTCCCCCCTTAGAGGTGTGAAAGAATGTGTGGTCATATGGCAGGGCTATAAAGTTTCTCCAGCCAAATGTGCAGGCCATATGGCTTCAACAGGAAACAAGGCACAGCCTGTTATCAGAAAGATATCACAGGAGAATGCAGGAGACATCTAGAAATCAATATTCCTATACAGAAGGAAGAAAGCATGGACCAGGGAAGTAGTCCCACTGAGCTTGACTAACAGCTGGACAGAAAGATCTTCCGTTGCCCCCTCCCCACCACCACAAGGCCATACGATTTTTACCATTTCTTGTGGAGACTCAGCATACAGAGCTTCAGCTCTTCAAGGGAAAACCCCGTGCATTCTGATAACTGGCTTGTCCAAGGATGACCTAAGAGGGGGGAAAAATTAAAACACAAAAATTCACAACACTATGTGGAGTAATTTCCCTGGAAGCCTCCTCTGTCCTTGCAGGGGGCTGCTCCAACATGATCTGCTGGGTCAGAGGAGGGCTCTTTTTGTTGTAGGAACTCCTTTGCATATTAGGCCACACACCCCCCCTAATGTAGCCAATCCTCCAAGAGCTTACAGAGCTCTTCTTACAGGGGCTACTGTAAGCTCTTGGAGGATTGGCTACATTAGGGGGGGTGTCGCCTAATATGCAAATGAGTACCTGCTACAAAAAGAGCCCCCAGGAGAACAATGCATCCAGTCAAGGCACCGGGGGGGATGCCAAAAAGCATCACTCACCTTGCCGGTGCAGGAGTTTGGCGAGTAACAACGCTGCGGCAGACAGGCAGGCAGGAGAGTACTGGCAGAGACCCGTGTTGAGGAGCGAGAGTTCACAGATGAAGCTGTACAGGTGCACAGTCCTTCTCTCCAGTGGGATTATGTTCAGTAGCACTTCCCTGTAGTCCACGATAGTAGGGACCTTTAAAATGAGAGAGTGCAAAAGGATGTTGACTGGGAAGAGAGGAATCAATCAATCTAGGAAACACGGGGAAAATGAATACTTTGCGAGGTTCCTACACTTGGTACTCTACATGTTCCTCAACTTTGATAATGTGTCAGTTTCAGCTCTTCCACCTTGCTGGACGAGGGGAATGCTGAAGACATAGTTTATCTTGATTTCAGTAAGGCTTTTGATAAGGTTACACATAACATTCTGGTTGGCAAATTGGTGAAATGTGGCTTGGATCCTATGACTGTTAAGTGGATCTGTAACTGGTTGACAGATCGCACCCAAAGAGTGCTTGCGAAGGGTTCCTCATCCTCTTAGACAGGAGTGACAAGTGGAGGGCCTCAGAGATCTGTCGTGGGACCTGTTTTGTTCAAAATCTTTATAGATGACCAGGAGAAAGGCCCGTTGCGGACAGGTATGTGACGGACGCTAGCAATCGTTCCCGGGTGAGGGAGGGGGTCAGGAGGGGGAGTGCTCTGGGTGGCACTTCCCCCATGGGCGCCTCGGCGGGAGGGGAGGAGAAGCCACGGGGAGGGCCGTAAAGGGCTCGGGCGCATCGGCGGGCAGGCCAGGAGGGGGCGGTGGGGCCCGTGGCCAGCTTCTCCCTTTCGGCCGCCTCGGTGGGAGGGCAGGAGAAGCCACGGGGAGGGCTTG